TCCCTTAAAGAAAAAGAAGTTGTCCAGTCCCATCAATGAACTCACAGAAATAACAGAGAGGCTGCTTGTCATTCAGACAGGTTCTGGTCACTGTGAATGACGAGTGTGATTATGTGTGATCAGATTCTCCACATTTGCACAGCAATCTTGAAGGCAGTGAGCGTGCATGCCTCTTAAGTGACTCTGATTATTGTACATTGAAACTTTCAGTGAGAGCAAAAGATCCCAATGCAGTAGACTAAATATTTAAAAATTGTAATTAATGATTATATGTCCATGAACCTAAACTTGCTTGTCTGAACATGTTAACGGCTTCAGAAAGAATTAGTGTCTAGCTGACAAACAGTAGCGAATAGTACATTCATTTATAAAGGCTAAATCCAGCAACCATTCAAGCAAAAGGAAAAACTCCCATTGACTTAAACAGTGCCGAATCAAACCCAAGAGCACTTTCAGTTTGCTAGTGTTGTGACACCAAGGGCCAGCTCATCAAAAGGAAATCAATAGAAGTTAAGCATCTAAATACCATTAAGAATCTTGGATGGAACCTCTTTCAGTGTTCAGATGGGAGACTTCTCTGTCCTCTCACTAACTACCATCATCAGACCAAACTCTGCTTTTCCCTTTCCACCATTTAGAATAATAGAATCCTACAATTGGAAAGGACTTCAAGAGATTATCAAGTCTAGTCTCCTGCCCTCATGGCAGGACCAAGCACCATCTCCATCATCCTTGATAGATGTCTATCCAACTTACTCTTAAATATTTCCAGTAATGGAGATCCCACAAGGGTGTCACAAGGAGGTGGGAAATAAATTGTTCTCCTTGGCCTCTGATGATAGGACAAGAAGCAATGGGCTTAAACTGCAGCAAGGGAGGTTTAAGTTGGACATTGGGAAAATCTTCCTAACACGGTGGTTAAACGCTGGAATAAGTTGCCTAGGGAGGTTGTAGAATCTCCCTCTCTGGAGATATTTAAGAGCAGGTGAGACAGATACCTGTCAGGGATGGTCTAGATGGTACTGGGTCCTGCCATAAGGGCAGGAGACTGGACTCAATGACTTCTTGAGGTCCCTTCCAGATTTCCCTTTGAGATGGGCCTTGGTTTTACAGCCCTCATAAATGGAAAGTGCTCTTGGGGTTCTATGCTTCTATGAAAAGCAGTTTGATAAAGTCACCCAATCCTTTAGTCTTCCCATCAGGGGCGGCCCGAGGCAGGCTGCCAGGCGGAATGCGTGATCGGCACCCCCGCCTCCACAGCCTTCAATGGTGTGGTGTCATCATTGAGCACCCTGTTTAACGCGGCGCCCTAGGCGACAGCCGAGTCGGCCTATATGCACAGGCCACCCCTGCTTCCCCTGATGCTCTGTCAACTCATTCATGCCTTGCCTTTGCCCCACAGAATCATTCTGTGAGCTGCCTCAGTTTCATCCCATC